CTTTTTAGATGGAATGCTTGACGCCTGGTGTGTCTTATGAGGTCGCCTGTCACAATATCGAGCAAATGACAACTGATTATCCCTATTCCTGAGTCAGGGTGGAACCCACTGGCCGAAACACAAAGAAACTGGCTTGATGTTGAAAACTGAGGAGCAAACTTATGACCATTTTCAGCTTCGGAAGCCCAAATAATTTGGAAAATTAATAATATTTAGCAAAACAATTCAGCAATTGTGTAAAATGCCGAGGGGGAACTGAACTCTGATCTACAGCCATCCTCCAGGTGGGAAAGAATAGAACAAAGCCCCGGACCTTTTTGTTGAAGGTTGAATTACCAAATTAGAGGAAGGAAAGAAACGCAGCTGCTGGACAGATTTGAATTTCAGTGAAGTATTCCAGTGTCATGCAGTTTTCTTCCAAAACAAGAGTTCTCAAAGAACATGAGAAGCCAAGAAAGGCGGATGAGAGGGCGGAGGAGGGAACCTCAGGAAGCTGTGCCCAGGCAAGGCCAGAGGACCCCACTGGCCCCCCCAGGCCTGGGACGCGCCCCCCTGCTGGGGAGGCGGCATGCCTCATGCCTCGGGTGCGGTCTGCCTGTAACAGCGAGCGCTCTCACTGCCCTCGGCTGCCCTGCCGGCACTGAGACCAGGCTGAGCTCGAGAGTTCCAGGAGGGAACTGCCTGTCATCCAGGAAGTGGCCTGGCCGCTTCTCCAGGAGTGTTCACGGTGACGGGGTGATCTCTGCACATTCTTGGCCGGGTCCCCATCTGCAGCCAAGGGCACGCCCTTCAAGGTGGCTGGGGCAAGGGCTGCAGTCAAAGCCAGGCCTGGTCTGCTCCCGCGGGGCGCCCCACTGCTGGGTCCCGAGCACCAGGCCTCCACGCCACCCCTGAAGCTGCGGCTTGCCTAGAGTGGCACCTGGAGTTCGCAGCACAGGCCCGACTGCAGCCCAGGTCTCCCAACCACAGCCTCCAAGTCTGCAGCCCTTCCCACCCGCTTCCCTCCGCGGTGTTGCGGCAGAGGAAGCCCGACCAGGAGCAGGGCCGGACGCTTCGGCGGCCACTGCAGTGAAGGCTGTGAACCCAGAGAAAGGAGGCTCGTTGGCCCGTCAGGGGCAGCTTCGTAAGGGCACGGAAGGGAAAAAAACAAAAGCAAGTTTATACTCATAGGGAAACATAATCTGTAATTATAAATATTTGATGAGCAAAGAAAGCAGTACTGGCTGAGAGACCGGGGTGTGGAGGGTGGACAGCAAATTGGATCCCGGTGTGCAAAGTGATAGGGCAGCTGGAAGAGCAGTAACTCGGGCTATTCTGGGCTGTGTGCGGCGCGGGCCTGCGTCAGAGTGTGGGCTCCGGCCAGCGGCTTTGTGGAAAGCGCAGCCTTCCAGCGGGCAGCAAGAACACCTTGGGAGGAGCGGTGAGTTCACGGCAGACCAGGAGCAGGGGCAGCGAGGACAGTCGTTTGAGTGACTTGGGTAAACCTGAACACGTGAAGGGGGTGAGGGGATGCAGCTGAGCAGCCAGTGGCCTGGGAACTCGTGAAAGGATGAGCACACGTTCCGCTGACCAAGCATAGAGAAAGGAGTGAGCCCGACCCCAGAAAGCCAAGTGACCTGCAAAGCTAGAGGGCAACTCAGGTCAAGCTGCCGGTCGGAGCAAAGGCCCAGCCCCTGGGCAGACGGTGCCGGGATGAGAATGCCAATCCCACCTCTCCTTTGCCGCGGGACAGGGTCTCCTCCTCCGGTAGGCTTTGGGAAGCAGCCCAGGAACAGAAAGGACGAGCTCGCTGAGGCCCAGCTGCTGCTGAAGAGACACTCGCCGTGAGCGAAGCCGGCCTGGCCTGGGCGTGATGCCTCCTCCTGGGCCGGGCGCCACTGCAGCGACCACGCCACGGAGTCTACTGCCCTTCCAGAGGCCAGATGGAGAGGGATGTCAGCTCCTAAAATACCCAGACGTGCCGGAATGGAGCTCCGTCGGGGAGGCCCGGGGAGCAGTGCGCCGCTCAACCGGGAAGAGAGATGCTAAAAGCCCATGTTCGCCTCCTGGCAGTCAAGGCGTAGCAGGCCAGAGGCTCCCAGTGTGCGCACTGAACACGGGAGAACGGGACCATTCTCTAGGGTCACAGCCAGTGAGGATCGACTCGAGCTGGGAAGGACTCCTCGGCAGCAAACCGCCCTCACGGTGTGGGACGACCTGCGTTGGAAGTCACGGGTCCGGGCTCTGAGACCAGCCTGAGCACCTACTAGGTGTGGAGACCCTAAGAAATCATGTGGCCTCTGAAACTCAGTGTCTCCATCTAAAAAAGGACCGGTGTCTGCCAAACCTAAGGTCTGAGGAGCACCAAGAATATGCATATACACATAGATGCTTTCAAAATAGATGCTAAGTGCTATTCCAATTTAAGCGTTTATTTATATCCAGCTACCTACTTGACATCTGCTGGCTGTCTCAAAGGCACCCCCGCTCAGATGCCCCCAGCTGCTCCCCCTCCCCCACGCTCAGGCCTCTCCTAGGGCACCCCAGTTCAGGGCTGGTCAGGACCAACCGTACAGACATGGATGGAAGCCAGAAACCTAGGACCCACTCTTGGCCCGCCCCCGCCGTATTAACGCATTTCCAGGCCCAGTCAAGTCGACCACCTAATTCTGCTCCCTTCCATCACCCGTCCTGGTCCAGCATGTCGTCCTCTTGCCGTCTCCAACAACGCCTATGCCCATCCGTCTGGCCTCCCCCAGCCCTCCACAGAGCAAACAGAACCATGCCTTCCCTCCCACCACCCTGCCCTGGGGCTAACGACTCCACAGCTGTACCCCAGGCCCTCCGAAAAGGAACCCTCCTCCCCACGCTCCTCCTGCAGCCTCACCCTGCACTGTGCTCACTCTGCGCTCCCTGCTCCAGCCACACTGGCTTTTCCTCCCGTCCCCGGTGGTTACCCCATTCTCTCCTACCACAGGCTTTTGCACATGCTCTTCCCTCGGCCTGAAATACCGCTCCCTCTCACATAGCTAATGCCTCTCCATTTATGTTTACTAAGGTATCCTATATAATAAAGAGGCAATATGCAAATTAGCCATCACTCCAACACACAAGATGGCCGCCCCATGTAGTCAAAGATGGCCTGCAGGGGAGGGCAGTTAGTGGCAACCAGGCTGGCAGGGGAGGGCAGTTAGGGGTGACCAGGCTGGCAAGGGAGGGAAGTTAGGGGCGACCAGGCTGGCAGGGGAGGGCAGGTGGGGGCAATTGAGCTGGCAGGGGAGCAGTCAGGCATCAATCAGGCTGGCAAGGGAGTGGTTAGGGGTGATCAGGCTGGCAGGCAGAAGCGGTTAGCCAGCAATCCTGGATTGTGAGAGGGATGTCCGACTGCCCACTGGGATCGGGCCTAAACGGGCAGTCGGACATCCCTCGAGGAGTCCCAGATTGGAGAGGGTGCAGTCTGGGCTGAGGGACACACACACCCCCATGCATGAATTTCGTGTACCAGGCCTCTAGTAAAGTACATAAAGTGCATCGAAGTACATAGCTTCCTAGTTACAGATGTACACATTCATGCAACTTCCACCCAGACCTCAAACAATCCAGCACCCATACAGCACCCTCCTGCCCCCTTTTCAGCCTACACTCCTCCCCACTCCCCAGTAACCACTGCTGCGACTCCTACCACAATGCCTGTTCATTCTTCAGAATGCAGCTGATGCAATCCTTTCTCAGGAAGCTGCCTCCAATCCCCCTGGAAAAGTCAAATCCCTCATTTGTAGGCCCTTGTTTACACCAAGGGATTTGCATTTAATAGTAACTGTGTGATCTGTGTCGACGTCCCCTAGGACACTGTCAGCCCCACAAGAACAAGGGCCATATCTGCTTAGAATCACCTGTCTCCCTGTGCTTGCACATGCTCAGCAATGATCATAGAAAATAGCTAATACCGCCCTAACCGGTTTGGCTCAGTGGATAGAGCGTCAGCCTGTGGACTCAAGGGTCCCAGGTTCGATTCCGGTCAAGGGCATGTACCTTGGTTGTGGGCACATCCCCAGTGGGGAGTGTGCAGGAGGCAGCTGATTGGTGTTTCTCTCTCATCGATGTTTCTAACTCTCTATCCCTCTCCCTTCTTCTCTGTAAAAAATCAATAAAATATATATATTTTTTAAAAATAGCTAATACCTGTCGCGTGCTTATTACTGCCAGGCATTCACAGGTACTAACTCGTGAAACTCTCACATCAGTCCATGAGTGGGTATCATTATTATAAACCCATTTTACTGGGAAGGAAACTGAGGGACAAAGGAGTTAGAGAACTGGCTCAAAGTCACCATAAAAGCCAGACAGTCTGGCAACAGAAAAGAGTTCTTGATCATTAGGCGACTCTGCCTCACAGAGGCCACTGGGTTATTTAATGAGTTCGTGCCCACGATATGTTGAATGAATGAATTCATAGAGGAGTGCATGAGGTTCCATCAAAGGAACCAAGAGAGGCCCCAAACCGCCCCAAGGAGTCCCATAAATAAATGGAAGATAAACTGCCATTGAATCACCTGCACAGGCCCAAGATCAGTCACCCACTAAACACAGGGCTAGTCCCTCTCCCCACACGCAGGGAAGGAAGCCTCCTGCCATGGGCCTCGGGGTGGCTTTGGCCCCTGGCAGGGGGCGCTCCACGGCAGAGGAAGGATGGCTGCCTGGGTACCATCAGAGCCGAAAGGCAACATCCACTACATCCAACAAGTCACTTTGCTCCTGTCCAGGGTCACCCAGGCCTCTTCACACCCACCATACAGCCCAGCCCTCTGACACGGGGAAAGGACCCTGTTAACGGGGGATGGGTCTGCCTGGTCAGTGATGGATCCCACTGAACGTTTACAAACTGGCGTTGGGTTGCACCCTCGTCACCCAGAGCCTGACACTCCTGGGGGAGCTCGGGGGCTGCTCCGGGCAGACACTGACATGGGTTGTAACTGCTTCTGTGCCACTGACCTCACAGCCACATTCCAGAAAGCTCAAGAAGGAGACACATGTGACAATGTTTATTCCTCACAGGACACTGTTCCCCAGGCACGGGGCCTCAAACCCCCCGCCAGCAAGGGCGCGGTTATCGGAACTGCTCCTTCAGGAACCCCACCGCCGCGGCGGCTGGGCTTGCTCACACAAAGTTCTGAGCAATGGCCAGCACCTTGGAAAACTCGCCTTCCCTCCGGCGCAGGCTGGTGGGAATGGGTGTCTTAATGCGGGTCCCCACCGGGTTCCCGTTGTCCTCAATGAGGACCACGTTATTGGAGTCGAACCTGGGGGTCATCCGAGGACCAGGCATGCGGTGCCCCACAATGAGCGCCTTCTTCTTCTGTCCCTTGATGGCCAGCAGTATCCGGTCGCCCACCTTGCCCACCCCATTCTTGGTGTAGACGTGGATGCAGCGAGGAGGGCGATGGTACGGGGTGTTCCCCAGGGCACTGTTGTCCACCACACGCACCCGCGTCATCTTCTGAATTGCACCCAGGATCCCGGTGGTGCTGGTGGGAAAGAGAAAAGTCTGAGATCGGCACCTCCCCGGTCCAGTGCGGAGGCCGGGATGGGAGAGAGCGCACGTTAGCAACAGCACGCTGAACAGAACACCACCCAAGCTCTGACGAGGAGGCAGGTGCTGCCGAGGGCTCCTCTGTACCCGCGACAGCTTCGGCACAGACAGGAGCTCCCGCTGCCGGGTCAAGAACTTCACTCGGATGGATTTTAAAGAGAACCCGCTTTTCTGTTACAACAAACTTCATGGCAGCCTTCATTGAAAGCCTTTGATTTCCAAAAGGACTCTGAGTATTAAGGGAATACCTCATGGGCCAGGCCTCACCCACAGCCTAGCCTGCCAAACCTGCTCCCCCAGACTGTACCGATTCCCAAATTTTCTCATCTATATGTTGCTGGGAACCAGAGATATGAGTGAGTAGGTTTGCTAAGGAAGTCTGTTGACACCACAAAGCAGAGACAGGAAATATGTCAAGGGAACAGTCTTCTGTTTTAATGCAGTTTCCCCCACTCGAAATAAATTTGTTGTTTATTATTATTATTTTACTAGAGGTCCTATGCACGAAGATTCGTGCAAGAATGGGCCTTCGCTCTGGCCAGAGCCACCTTTCTGCCTTCCCATGCTGCCCAGAGGCCCAAAGCGGCTGGGGCTGTGCGGAATGCCTGCATCCCACCCCACCCCCGCAGCTGCTCAGCACCTGCTATGCAAATTAACCCACCATCTTTGTTGGGTTAATTTGCATACTCACTCCTGACTGACTGTTGGGTGTCGCGAAGGTGCGGTCAATTTGCATCTTTCTCTTTTATTAGTGTAGATTTTTAGAAATTTGTTTTTTAAACAGGTACCTATTGAAGGCAGACAAGCTATCATTAAGTAACCTGATGACAGTGGGTTTCCATTTTCCTGATGCTGGCCCCTTACGTGCTGGTGTTCCCCAGGTAGTCCCAGGTCCTCTCCCCTCCCCCCCCACATGCCTATTCTGGGCAATTCTACCTATGCCCATTGCTTCCAACTAGTAACTTCCACCTCCAGCCCCACTTGTCTCCTGTGTTCTAGTCCCGTGTTTCCGCTCTAAACTCACTACACATCCTACAGCTACTGCACAGGAGGCCCCACACGGACCCTGTCACCTCCCCTGGCGCTCCTCCTCCTGCGACTGCATTTCCCATCGAGGCAATGGCTTCTCCAGAAGCTCCAGCACCCAAGCCATACACCTCTCTCTCCATCACCCTCCGCTGCAGCCACGTCCCACTGTTACTGCCTCCTCAGCAGCTCTGTCCTCTCCCTGCACCCCATCAACACTTCCTAGGTTCAGCGGCTCACTCTCTCACACCAAGATGAAGACACTGTGTCCTAACTGGCTCCCAGTGCACCTCACTATGCCAACCAGCAGCTCTTTTTAGAATATAAACTGAGGCCACCCCCCTGCTTAGGAGTGTTCAATGGCTTCCCACTCTCTACTTGTCAACAACCTGGCCCCGTTGTACCTGCCCTCGAAGGTACCACCTCCAACCACCTACACACCCGCCCTGGTCCCCAGTGGCCGGGAAGCTCTGGAGCTCGCCAAGCACACGCACCTCGCAGCCCTCCCCGAGGCCTGCCCAGGGCCTACTCCCTCCTCCCTTCTGGGAAGGCCGCCTCCACTCTCCTTTCCTCCTCCTCCTCCTCCTCCATCAGCAGCTCTGGTCTCGGGCCTTCCACAGCACCACACAAACCTCTATTATTACACTGGTCACATTTCCTTCCAGTTATTTGTTTCCAAGTCTGCTCCCATGGCCAACTGTGAGAACTCTTCCCGGGCAGGAAGCAATTCTCATTCATCTCTCTATTACCAACCCCAGACACGGTGCTCAGTGAGCGCTTGTGAAATGAGTGCACGGACGGGGCCAAAAGGCATGTTTGCCAACAGCTGTGCTCTCCCCCTGGGTTAGCATCTAAAAGGAGGGCAGGCTGTCACCCTTCTGTCATGCTTGAGATTTTGGTAGTAAGTAACTTTTAAAAAATGATTCCAGTTTTAAAAATAGAAGGTTTCAATGCACTGGGCGGGAACGGTAGGGTTAAGAGATGTCAGATTCACTGAAGTCTGGCAAGGACTGCACAGTTCCATCTTCCACCACATGCCTTTCCCTATCGTACCTCTGACAGCACCGTCACCTCCGTACCTATGCCCCTCACCTGACCTCACCGGGCCCCAGCCCAGTCTGATTCCTTCAGCTTCCTGACCCCCGGCCCACTTCCCTGAGTTTCCGCTCCCATTCCAGTCACCATAATACCCAGCCCTGATGGGAGGGAGTCTTATCGAAGATGCAGCTTGAAGAACTTCCTGGGGAAAGTTACCTGAAACAGCGCTGGCTGAGGGCTCTGCTGATGTGGGTGAAAGGGCCCCTCAGCCCAGGAAAGAAAGCCATGGGATCCCAAGAGGGCAGATCCTGCAGGAAAAGGAAAGGGGGAAAATGTTACTTTTAAGTCAGTGGCCTTACGCAGAGCCAGTTTTCTTTGTTGTTGTTTTTTAATGAAAGGCTGTTGGGGACTTGTGTGGGAGATGGCACTTCCAGCACAAGATCATTGGCCACTAAATATAAATCCTAGTGGTTAAAAGATACGCAGGTGATTAGCTGGAACTCCAGCTGCAATTCTGCTGATTCATATTCTAACTGGGGTCAGAGAGCCGGAATGACCCAGAGCAGTTCTCGCCATAAGGACTGCAACAGCACAGACAGTGCCTTCATCACCACATCACTCCCACCGGCGGGAGGGAAGCATCGATCCCTGCTACACACCCAGCCGGCGTCCACGTTCCAGGTCCCCCCAGAGGAAACCTGCACAATATTGACACTCATGGCCGCCTGAAACCAGAACTTCTACTCCCGGAGAGAAAGCAGATGATCTGAGCCACTGCACAAGTTGTCTGTCACATCACCTTTCCCCCAAATGTCATGTAAACGCCAGAACATTCGGACACCTCAAGGCGCACAAAGTGGAGCCAGACGATGCCTTTGACAAGTCACTGACCAAAGTTTCCATTTGGGTCAGAATCCCAAACAACATTATAACACAGAAAAATGACCTGCCCCACCCTGCAGCTCACGTGGGGTACGGGAGAGCAAACCCCAACCCGACACTCATGGCTCCAGCTTGCACAGTCACAGCTCAGCGGCTCCCTAGAACCTGGTACCCCCATTTCCTGCAACACCTGGGCGTCTGTGAGGGGCGTGTTTAAGAAAAGCCTGCAGCCAGCTAGTGTTTCCAACTGCAAAACACGCCCGTTCTTCCCTCCAAATGTCTGGCTGCAGAGGGCCTCGTTCGAGAGCCCTGCGGAGAGAGGCTCCCCGCTGAAGTGTTTACATCAGCCCTGCCCAAGTTCAAAGCACCTCAAGTGAGACTTCATTTCATAAGGGTATTGGGGGGGGCGGGGAACACACATTTACCTCCACAGGAATATCCAACACTTTAGAAACGCTTTTTAACTGCAAGTTAGCCTCAGATCTCAGGCCTACTCTCCAGTGTTTTCCCTATGACAACCCAGTAAGCACTGGCCAAAATGGCAGGATGGCCGGAAGACTAAATGCAGAGGGAGTCGGCTAACGTGCAGAACTACTAACATCTAATGCACAGCACTGAGGACCACTGGATGAGGCAGGCTTTACCTGGAGAGCGCGGCAACCCTGCAGAAGGAACCGGAGCTCCCGTGTCCCCATCTGCAACACATCCTCACAGGTGGCCACGGCGTGAGCCGTTCAGAGCACAGGGCGCGGTGTCTGGCACTCGGTGCCTATTAGCTGTCCTCATCGCCATCGTCATCGTCATCATCATCTAGTCACATCTCATTCCACAGACTAGGAAACTGAGACACAGAGAGATGAAGGGACTTACGTAAAGCCCCACAACTAGCCCAGGGCCGAACCAGAACTGGAGGTGGACCCAGCTTCCATCCAAGGTTCCCTTTACCACACCCTACAGCCTCGCTCTACCGTACACATCTCACGTCACACAGGAAGCTCAGGGTCAGAAGCAGCCGTCAGGGTAATCTGGTCTTTTTCTGTTCCCTTCATGAACATTTATTGAGTATTATGTACCAGGCACTAAACTAAATGCTTTACAGTATCATCCCATTTAAGCCTCACACAACCCTATGAAATGGGCACTGTCACTGGCCCCAGGTTGTGCATGAGGAAAGGAGGCCCAGAGACATGAGGTAACGTGGCCCAGGTCACACAGCCAGGAGTGACAGAGTTGTAACTTAAACCCAAATCGTCGACCTCCTGAGCCCATGCTCTTAGTCAACAGCGTTAACATGGTTAACTTTAATTTAACAATTCATATTTTTTTCCAACTGTTAAATCATCCTTGTTCCATGCACATTTTACTCATACCCAACTCAACGTTTGCTGAATCAACTGAAATATAGATGAACATCGGGTTAAAATTATTCATTTTAACCCAATTTAAGTTTCTGAGACAATCTGTGGTGTGGGTGGCCAGAGCTCCATATTGGAGCAATAACTGACTATTGGCTTTGAAAAAACCTGCTCTGAAAAGCAGTCCTGGTCCAGGCTGCAGTTACCGCCCATCTCGGCCTCGCTCCTCAGAGAGGCGGCTCCTCAGCTCCTCCAGAGCCCTCAAGACTAGCCCAGCACCACCCACAACCCACACGTCCTCTCCTGAGGAGACACCTGCCTCTTCACACCGCTCTGCTTCCTCAGTAACACTTATGTTAGTCCAAGAACTGCAGAAGTGCCTGGGGCTTCCCAGAACTTTCCCGACTTGAGTGTAACAAGCCCCACCCTCAAAGTGCCTAAACTCTTCAGGGCAGTGTGTGCACAAACACACCCAGGCCTCGCACCGCCTTGCTCGCAAGCCCCACAGCTGATGCCCATCTCTGCCCGGCTAAGTCTGACCCAACTCCAAGTGCAATTCCTCCATGAAGCCTCATGCAAAACTGCAGCATCAGATGTGCCCTCCTGAGCACTGAGGACATCTGGGCAGCCTGTGCCAAGATCTCTCATTGCTCCAACTTTCAGGATCCAAACTCAAACAGTGAATAAATTTAGGTACTTTTTAAAAATATGTTTTTATTGCTTTCAAAGAGAGGGAGGGAGGGAGGGACCCCCCATGGGGATCGAACCCACAACCCCGGCATGTGCCCCGACCGGGAATTGAACCGTGACCTCCTGGTTCATGGGTTGATGCTCAACCACTGAGCCACATCGGCCAGGCAAATTTAGGTACTTTTTAAAAATAAAGCTGATATCCCTTGTGGGGGTTTTTGTTGTTGTTCTTTTCTTAAGGCTGATAACCTTTAACATTCTAGTTCTTGCCACTATCTCTAACTCAGAAACCACAGAAATCTTGGTAACGTGGAGTCTGAACTCACTGCAGGAATTCAGGAACCGCACAGACTCAGACCATGAGGAATACTTGTGCTGTCCTCAGACACAAGAGTACACATTCTGGTCTCCAAGCAGCTCTTACAGTTTCACAAGGAAGGGCCTGATTCAAGGACTTTGCACTCCTCCTGGTGACCTAATGATGATCTTCAGGCCCAAAGGGCCTAAGACATCAAATTGACAACAGTAAACCTTCCTACGAACTTGAAAGTACAAAAGAGCCAAATGTACACACTGTGTGTGTGTGTGTGTGTGTGTGTGTGTGTATCCTTTATTCCTTAAAAAAAAAAGTCTGTGGCCTCCTCTACCCTCACCCTAGCAAAAGACCTCAGCAGGTCCTCCTGGAGAAGCGCAATAAACACTGGTTGAATGAAATAAATGAAGTCACCAAAGAGAAGACATCCCTACTCACGGCTCCAGACACACTGTAGAGCAGTGGCCAGCAACCACTGGTGGTCCGTGAGGTCCGAAAGGCTGGCGGCCGCTGCTGTAGCGCTCTTATCTGTCTGCCGGGAACCAGGACATCACAGGCGAACATCTTCAGGAGAACCACAGTGCCGTGGTGGCAGGATCAGCCCATGCTATGTTTACAGGCCTCTGGAATCATCTCCCAGGCCTGGTGCCCACACTGCCCACTGTAGAAAAACACCTCATCCCACCACTAAATGACTGGTTTGAATCAAGGAAGGATAATGGAGGCAGCAATTTACTTCAAAGTAACTTTGATTGGCCTTGATGTTATTTCCTAACATAAATCCATCCTGTAGACACAGGCCCTGATTCACTTCAAATGTAGTCTATATATAATGCTTTATTTCCACACGGAGTCTTATGTGTGCACGGAAAATAACCCCAATGATACTTCCTCCTCTATAACACTCTCACTCAGGGAGGCCAGGTGTTCACACGACTCCAGGGCCAGAGGTGGCTTTTCATGCCACTTTCTGGTCAGCACTGAGTACTGCCCTTCAGGTTTGGACTATGAATCACAACCTCTCCAAAAGGGGGAAGGGGAGAGGAGGAGGAAGGGAGGGGAAAGTAAAGGGAGGGGAGGGCGAAGGAAGAAAGGGAGGAAGGGAGGAAAGGAGAAAGGGAGAGAAGGAAGGACAGAGAGAGGGAGGGAGGGGAGGGGAGTGAGAGAAGAAAGAAAAGAAGCCCTAGCTGGTTTGGCTCAGTGGATAGTGCATTGGCCTGGGGACTGTGAGATCCCAGGTTCCATTCGGGGCAGCGGCACATGTCCGGGCTGCAGGCTCGATCCCCAGTAAGGGGCGTGCAGGAGGCAGCTGATCAATGATTCTCTCTCATCACTGATGTTTCTAACTCTCTCTCCCTCTTCCTTCCTCTCTGAAATCAATACAAATATATTTTAAAAAAGGGAAGGAAGGAAGGAAGGAAGGAAGGAAGGAAGGAAGGAAGGAAGGAAGGAAATGATAAATTACTTACAAGAATAAATTACTTACAACCCAAGAACCATGCCCATTTCCACCTGATTTAACGTTAAGATCTGCCTTCTTAACATTAAGTGGTGGAAGCCAGGGAGGACTATACACTTCAGGTACACATAGGTGAGTTTTTCACTTGGCATCACCTTATAGGTCCCATGGGAAGGGTGCTCAGTGAGGGCAGGGCAGGGCCAGGCCTGCCTGCCTGCCCGCCCTGTACAGTGCTGCACACTCAGGACCCAGAACAGCGTCTGGCACACAAATGCAGCTCAGTGAATATCTGTCAAATGAATAAAATTAATCTGCAATTGCAATTCATCCCCCAGCTCCAGAAGGCTCTGTGTAGGGGGATTGGTGGTCTTGCTTATGCCTGTCTCCCAGTGACTTAGGGGGGCCTCCTACCCACTGAGAGCTCATTTTTAACTAATTTTAATACACAGAGACTGAAAAAACAATGGGTGCTTTGTGGAAAACTGGAAAGCACCATTACTTGAGGATCAGGGAAATGTACTTAGTATCACAGCCCTATGTATAACTCTACATTGTTTCCACATGAACGATTTCCATCTTTAGGTCAGGCGTGTTACATACATGTCAAAGGCCTTTCCACAGGAATGGGCTCTACAGGAAAGAGACTAAACGAATAAAAGTTCCACAATCATAAAGGAGTGCTTACAGGAGATTCTGTTACTAAGTAACAGGATGGAAAAGAAACACTAAGAAATCAAATGCAGCCCTAGCCGGGTTGGCTCAGTGGATAGAGCATGCAGCATGCACCCATAACAAGGAGAAACTCCACCAGCCTGCGGATGTAAGTGTCCTCTTAGCTAGAGCAGGAAAACAGCAGAGGCCTGGCAGCTTCAAGGAAGCAAGGAAAGGAAATCCCGGGACCCTGCCATCTCCTGCAGGTTTCACCCCACTCATTCTGGACCAACAAATATTCTTATTTGTTGCTTAAAAACTCATTCCTGTTTTGTCGTCCAACGGCCCTCTTTCAGGAATCTTCTTTAACCTCACACAAGTACAGTATGTTACAATTCTCAAAGTACTTTTGCCGCAGATTACCTTCTTGGATGATTTCATTCCTGAGCACCCAATGGAAACACAAAGACGAATAATAAAGGGCAACAACCTGCAAGGGACTGAATCAGCTAAGGATTCTGAATGGCTCTGGGGGCTCAGTAATGCAAGTACCATTTTGCAGACTAGAAATGAAGTCTGAAACGCTAAGTGACTTGTTGACTTGTTCAAGATCAGAAGGCTGTTTCTATTACACCCTGCACAATCCCTGCACAGCTAAGATGCTGCTTCCACCACTAATAAAACTCACCGAAGAAAACACACCCCACACAGGACAAGGGCTCATTCTTCTCCATCGAGGCTGCCATGTAAACTTTAAAAACTCGGGAATTAAAAAGCTGTCTTTTCAATAACTCTCTGTACTACGTCCAGCACAGCCTAGGAAAAGAGCTGAAGCTGACCCGAGACCCCTGCCAACCTGAGTCTTCACACTGTCTTCGTCAGCATGATGAGCTGTGCGTGCCAGGGCTGCCCCTGAAGACCCCATTCCTCAATTTGATTCACCAAAGAAAAATGTTCCCAGAACTCTTGTCCTGTATTTATTTATTCGCCTCTCCCCGCCTTGTCACAAAAGTATTTAAAAATACTTTTAAAATTTTCCATGACAATTCTCAATCATTCAAACTCCCCCTCGATCCCAGCTTCACAGGTATCCAAACATCTATAGTCCAAAAATAAGTTTGTAATAATATGGGCAAACTCAGAGGAAGTGCACAAAGTTCAGTTCTACCCAACTGTGTACGCATTTCCTTCCTATTACCACCTCTCGTGGGCCAGCGGCAAGAAGCTAGGTTTATGGTGCTGTCACACTGTCAGGTGGGGCGATGGGCAACGGAGGAAAAGCCTAGAGTCCCTGGACTCAAACAGGAAATGCTGCTGATAGAAACGCATCGCCCCCACCCTGTCCTCCCCTCCTCTGCTGTCTGTGACCTTGGGAACCACTGCTCCAGGCCTCAGTGACTCTCTGCCAAGCAAGGTAACTGGGAAGAACAGAGGCACGGAAGTGGCTGTGCTTTAGGTTCATTCATGTAAGTGGTGCTTTTAAAGGGGGGAGTCCCTTTCTACACTGAGCAGGTAGGGACCAGGGACCAAGTCTGCAGGATAAGCAGTTTGTTTCCCAAATCCTCACTCCCTGTTCTCAGGGCGGCACTATTAGTGTCTCTTTAAGATCACTCCGTCCTAAAAGTTTGTGTGTGGTTTTCTTTTCTTTTTTTTAATGTTTTTATTTATTTTAGAGAGAGGAAGGGAGAGGGAGAGAGAGAAACGTCAATGATGAGACAGAATCATTGATCGGCTGCCTCCTGCATGCCCCCTACTAGGGATCGAGCCGGCAACCTAAGCATGTGCTCCGACTGGGAATCCAACCATAACTTCCTGGTTCATGGGTCGACACTCAGCCACTGAGGCACACTGGCCTGGCCTCAAAGTGTTTTTCAAGTTAAAGTCACCATGGAAAAGTACTCCCTCTCTTTTCTAGGGACATAGGTGATTTTTTTTTTGGAAGGTTTGGACAGGGAGACTTCCCAACTCTGAGCTGTTTCACTCGTGAATAACAAGCAACCTAGTATCTTTCTTAATAAGAGAGCATAGTACCTGAACCAGAGCAACAGTTCCGGGATGCGGATCACAGTTCTTCCTTAGATGCTGGCTGTGACTGTAAAATCGCACCAGAGTGAGCTACAACCCAGAACAAGCCACCGGCCTTTAAAAAGACAGCGAAATCATTACGGGTTTTTGAGACCCTCCTAAGCTCTCACACAACCATAAAAGCAATAGGAAGAACCACCTAATGTGGGTCCAGGTGTCGTCATCCCCAAGACAGAAGTGGGGCAGGACAGGCTGTAAGAACTCCTGCATCATCTAAGATTCTAGTAGCTGAGGACAGCCTGCCCATGAGAGTACCTCCTGAAAAATGGACTCCAGGAGAGATTTTTACCCTTCGTATTCAGGAGCGATAATAAAACACTCTGGCCACTGTTCCTCCCAGGGTTCCACAATGCCCTTAATACTCTTCTCACCTGTCTGTTAAGACGTGGAGACCCTAGTTAGGCACTGGCAGGAACAGATCAGGAACCCACCACCGGTTCAGACTGATAACTGCATTCTTAGAAATAATAATACATAACAAATGGCCCATGAACCAGGAAGTGATCCTCAGAGGTCCAAACACCAGGTACGGATGGCCTCCGTGTCCACTTCCCAGATATCCGTCACAAGTGCTACTTGGCATGGATCACGGCAGCTTTACGGCCATAGAGTCAACAGATGTGAAAAGTTTCATAGGAAATACACATCCAAGAAGCTCTGATGATAAAATGGACAATTCCATCCAACAAACAAACAACAAAAACTAGAGTAGTTGCCTTTTCATCTAAATGGCTTGCTCCTGCTCCAACAAAATCCTGTTCTCCAATCGCACGCGTTTCCAATGAGTGAAGAGGGACTGACCGTCTTTCTTCTTGGGCAGTCAACTCCTGAAGGAGACGCGCTCTGTTCTTTACTGTATATTCCTGGTGTGCTAACTGCATCCTCCAGGACAGGTTTAAATTAATGAAAACTCAGGTTAAAGAAGGCAAGAGGGCCAACAGGTAACCAATATGTTTCTGGCGTTTCTGTTAGACACAGAAACATTTTCTAACATCTCTTAATGCCTAACACATGTGTGTGTACCTGAAACAAGTGTCAAGAAACAATATTTACCCTTACAAGGACAACGCACTCCGATATCTTCTATTTCTTTTTCTTTAATGATGGTTGTGATCCACTAAACTGATTTCCAACTAATCAGTGCGACTCTGACTGGGAGCTCAGTTTGAACTGCACTAGATCAAAACTGATCACCTCATTCCACAAGCTACTAACGAACGCGTCAAAAAGCCCCCAGAGACACCCGGCAGGTGCGCAGTGCCCTTCCCAGGTCCGGCAGCCCAGGGTTCAGCATCTCCCAGCCTCCCAGCTTTCCCCAATATCCCAGTAACCCCAAATGACTCTGTCATAGGCCGTTCTGTTAACCTCTATAAATGCAGCCCATTCCGTCTCTTAGGCTGGCGAAGTTCATGTGCTGCCCTCTGTGAAAAGCAATGCTTGCCTTTCTGTCTCCAAACCAAGGCCCTTCAAGACTGAAGGGAAGAAAACCTTCCAGGAAGGAACCCACAATTAAGTGAACCAGTCGGTGCTCTGTGCCCGTTTGTGTGGGTGATACGCTCCTGTGCCTGTGTCCGCACCCCCGCGCGCGCGCGCACACACACCTCTCGCTCAGCTCTCCATCCAGCCTTAATCCCTGGCAGACGCCGCCTCCGATGAAATGAGAAACCAGGGAACCCCCGGGAGCCGCGGAGGCACTCCTCGCATGACAGCGAAAGCAGTGGACTCACTCTCCACACCACAAAGCGCCTGACCGACAAGTCACCAAGTTATCTCCAGATCCAAGCTGGGAAGGGGAGCGGGAGCGAGAGAAGCAGACAGACTCGGAGGGACGCGCCGCGCCGGAGGGACCGGCCGAGGACACCTCGCGCAGGCCTGACCGCAGCTCGCCCCTG